CCTATAGCTAAAAGAAGGGAAGTCGTGTACCAATGTTTTACTTTTCTTTTTTATAAACATGGGCAACCATGTATGGGATTTCCAGAGTCAGATTGAATCGACATCTGAGATTCATTTTTAAAAGAATCCCTTCTCTTCCTATTTAGGAACTGAACTCCTGGAACGAAGTCCCATCCATTTGACTTGAAAAAATTACTTAAATACCGTGCAGACGCATGAAGACTTGCTTGAATGAGGAGATGTTCCCTGCGGGGGTGTAGCACTGCTTCAACGCAAGGGGAAAAAGAAGCATCCGAAGCATCTAAAGTCGAATAATCCGAATCCGTTGAATAGGAAGCCTTTGATCCCCTTTCTGAGTTATATTATATGAAAAGAAAACTAGAGAGCTAGAGCACTAGAGCGTTATACTTGGAACAAGTAGTTGAAGGACCGATGAGCTAATGCAGTTAGAGCAGATATAGGAGTTCAAGAGCTCCGAGTTGTTTGAGCTACTAAGAGCTACGAGCTAAGGGCAGTTGCTATCCTCTTCGCTCCTGTAACGAGTAAGGGGAAGGTGAGAGTGCTTCGTTCTTCCTGCCTTATGGCTTCTGGCTGTTAGAGGAGCTGGAGCAGTGGGAATAGAGATCCCAAGGTCAGAGCAAACGAGTGTAATACATGGAACGAGTAGAGCCAGAGCCAAGGAGCTTTGAGAGAGTAGAGCTAGAGTAACTAGCGATAAAGCAGAGCTACATGCCTGGAACGAGTCAAGTCAGTGCCCGAGCCAATGGTGCGGTGGGGTTAGAATTCGCCGTTGTTCTCTTCCTTAATTGCTGAAAACCCTTCGTGAGTAGAAACGAGGGAACTAGAGATATGGGTTCTTCTTCTCTTCAAGATCTTCATTCCCTTCCGAAATGAGGTCGTTTAAGCTCAGCTCTACAAAGGTAGCTGAGCATCTTTTTACCCAACTTAGAAGCGAAGCGAAGTGAAGAAAAAGAGAGGAAGATCTTTAGTAGCGTCTTCGGCCCATCTTCCCTTTTCTGGTGATTGGACATCCGGGGCAC